CTTCAGGACATCGTTTAGGGGGCATGGTGGTATTTGGTTAATGGTTGGACTTGATGATATCGAAGGTCCTTCCAACCTTAATGATTCTGTGATTCTGTGATTCTGTGACCTGATGCTCTTCCACCAAGGGTATGTCTGCCTTGCTCCAAACTTTCTCCCTGCTCTCTGGGACCTAAGCATCCCTGAAGGTCTTATTAGCAGCATTCAGTACCTCAGCCTTTTCCATGTCCTGACCGTTTCAGCAATGGTCCCACATTTTCCCTAGTCTTTCGTTTGCTATGTACTTGAAGCCCTTCTTGCTGTCTTTAACATCTTTGGCCAGATTCAATCCTATTTGGGCTTTGGCTTGCTTTACCTCATCCCTGCATGCTCAGACAGTGTCTCTCAGGTACCTCACAGGTTGCCTGTCCTTGCTTCCACCCTCTGTATGCTGCCTTTTTCTGTCTTGAGTATTACCATGAGCTCCTTATTCATCCATGCATTTTCTTTACCTGAATCACCATTTGCCTCAATAAAGGTAAATGGTAAAATTACCTGTCATTACATATGGAGTTTCACATATTTGAGTCTTATGTGTTACAGCTCTGTCAGCCAGGGATGGCCTTGAAAAAGCATGTCTAGGTATCTCAAGGATGTCCTTCATGATGTAAAATTATTCTCAGTGGGAAAAAGTAAAGTGAGAATAGCTGTGAAAGAACTTTGTGATGCTTACACTGGGCAAAAAATATTGATAAGTGCAAAGTAATGTACATAGGATAAGCAACACTCACTATCAAATATAGTGATGAACAGTGTTCAGATCTATGGAGGTGTAGTATGAACACTGCATGTCATCAGATCGTGAGAGAGAAGGTAGAACTAGAAAATTATAAGGGAGAACATCAAAGCTAATGAGAACTAAACAATACATTCGTTGTATTGTACATACATTCCATACAAGGAGAGATAAAATAGATTAGTACTATTTGCCTTGTTATGTGGCAAGGGTTTACTGATTTTTTTCTACTATGGGAAGAACTAGGGATGGACAGGGAAAGAAGCACCACTAAAGTAAAGAAAGTATTTTTCAGTAAATTAATTCAAACTATAAATCTCATTGCCAGAGAGCTCTTTGGGTGCCAAAAGTAAAATTGGTCGTAAAGTGATTAAGTCAAATGAACAAAAATCTAGCAAAAGCTCTTGAACACAGTCACATGTCCTCCTATGAATCTCTAAACTCAAGATTTCCAGAATGTTGAAAGATACACAAATGAATGTCATTTTATATTGATATCCAGAGATGGACTACAACTTAATGAACATCTAGTATGGTTCAAGGTGACTATTCTCCCTGACACAATGCACTGTATTATGTTACAACTGAAAGAAGTGAATCAGAGTAATATTTAATCTGATTAAGATAAGCAGTGCAGACAACAGTAAAATCCACATCTCATACTCAAGGTCTGTAAGTAGAGAGGTCTGTAAAAGGACAGCTGTCTTCATACTTATGGTGGCCTCAGAAAAAGTTAAAGTATGCACCCAAATGTCACCGTGCTTACCCAGTGAATGATTGTCCTGGCTCCCTTACCTCAGATTCATGGAGCATCTATGGCCTACAGTTATTAGTAGTTACCCTCATCCCTCTAGTCAGCATTAGTTGAAATTCCCTCCTTAGGAATCTTCTCATATTATTTATAGGAGATTTATTCACATAGCTAGCGAGAGACCAAAAATTTCTAATTATATCTAGTAACATCACTTTCCGGTTTTCAGTTCGTTCGGTTTGCCAGACAATGCTTTGCCAAAAACAAGGTTTGCCAAAAATGCTTTGCCCAAAGACAGAGGAGGCATCTGCAGCATGTGCTGACCAGACTCTATAAAAGGGTCTCTGAATCTGGGCTGTCCTGTCTCCAGAGAAAAGTTCATGGTAAGTGCATGTCATGTCTGTGGCTGGCAGAAAGGGACAGTGTCCCTGCAGTCCACATGTCCCACTTCATCCCTGCTGTCCTGGTGTACGTATCTGTGTCTGCAAGGATTTAATATCTGTAAGATAAAGCATGTTGGTATTTTCACTTTGTGCCTGTGGAATTCTGTGCAGCAGTAGTGAGCGATCTGCCATTTCTTCTTTACAGCACTTAGCGTCTTCCAGCCTGCAAGGAATCTTCTCATATCGTAAAAGGTAAGAGCATAAATTACTCTACACTTCAGGGACAGACAAAAAGGTAGCAGATTTCTGTAGAACAGATTTATTCATGCTGAGAAATTTCTGTAAAATTGTGTGGGCAATTGCTGTATGCCCATATATTGCTGGCCCCTGCTCGGTTATGGTAAATACAGTATGCTGATGGTTGGGTAAGTTGCTAATGGCAAGCAAGCTTTCCTAAGTGGCTGTGCTTGAAGCCACTAGCCATTGATGTCATGCCAGGAAAAGTTTCTTGGGGATTCCTCATGTTTAATTATGGATCAGTGAAGTAAATAATCTGTTCTTGCATGAAGTCCAGTCAGATAGAGCCAGCCAACAGAACAGACTATTGCAAAATCTTAAAGGTTTGTTACAAATTATATGTATTATTGAATATGATACTGGCCAAAGATTTATGTGGAAATATTCTTCAGATGATACTGCAGTGTTATAATCTACATGTGGGCCCCGTGCTAGGAAACTTGGTAAAAATGCAAAAATCAGCAAAACAAATGAACAAAAAAATGTACTGCTCCTATTCCTCTGAAACAAAACAGAATAAAGTAGGGGGTCCACATGCTCCTAGGAACCGTTGCAAATGTTAAAATTTGGTTGGCTCATTTAGGTAACTAAAAGTCATGACATGACAGCTAAATAAGTTGCCTGTTTGTCTAACTTCCTAGGAACTCAGGTGCTTTCTATTACTGGATATGTGGTATCTCCTTGGAAATCCAGTACTGCATTTAGATATCCATCTTTGATTTGTAAATTCTTGAACGAAGGTTTCTAACTTTGCACAACATTATTTTCACAAACAATTAGTATACAAAGAAATAATTAGTGATGCAGTATTTTAACTTATTGTATTATCTGTCTTTATATACCATTTGCTCACATACTACTTCCCAGAGTTAAGTCACTTGCAGCAAATTTCTGCCATTGTCAAGGAAATATCAGTGCTGTTGATTTAAGGTGAAAGACACACTAAAATTTAAGCATGAAATCAAATAGGAAGTTAACTATATCTTACACAGTTAAGTTCTTGGACAATGGAACATGGGGGAAAAAAAGTCTTATTTTGTTCAGACAGAACAGATGTCTCACATTTCCAGTATGACTTTCTTACATCATTGAAATTGTTGTATTATCCACACCCAGGATTATTTCTACTTTAGACCTAGGTATATCTCTTCATTTAAACTCAGCTCCCATATCTGGAGCACCATCTTCAGTTTAGTGCTCCCTGGTGACAAGAAAGACATTGATAATCTGGAGTCAGTCCAGTGAAGCGCTTCCAACATAGGCAGGAGCAAATGATGAATGAGGAGAGACTGAAAGGGTGGGGTTTGTCCATTCTGGAGACAAAATTAAGATGTGGTTGTCTTATTGCTATCTTCAACATAAAGTGGGTGGCTATACAGTAAAAAGAGCCAGACTCTTCTCAGATGTGCAGAGTGAAAGGATGAGGGACAACAGACACATGTTGCAGAAATAGAAATTTTGATCAGCTATTGGGAAAAAAAAATCACCATCAGGGTGGTCAGACATTAAACAGGGATTCAGAGGGACCAAGGAATCTCCATTCTTGGAGGTAATCAAAATTTCATTGGAAAAAGCTCTGGGTAATTTGACTCAACATTTGCCCTGCTTTGCACAGGAAGGGGGACCAAAGAACTGCCTGAAATTATTCCCAAATCACAAACCCTATGACACTATTTAAATTTTTCAATAAACTGCATGGCAACGAAACATGTTGACTCGTTTGGGCAACATATCTGCTCTTCCACAGTGTTCTCAGCTGACAAGCCCCTCCATAAAGTGAAGACATGTCATCAGACTCTGAGATGGCCATCTTTGGGGCGGCAGCTCCTTACCTCCGAAAGTCAGAAAAGGAGAGAATCGAAGCCCAGAACAAGCCTTTCGATGCCAAGACATCAGTCTTTGTGGTGCATCCCAAGGAATCCTTTGTGAAAGGGACAATCCAGAGCAAGGAGTCAGGAAAGGTCACCGTCAAGACTGAAGGTGGAGAGGTGGGTAAAATGCAAGATTTACAAACAGCATTTAATTTCCACTTTGGGCTCTTAGCTGAAGTGTATGTTCCTTACTTTTCCTCTGACAGACCCTGACAGTGAAGGAAGATCAAATCTTCTCCATGAACCCTCCCAAGTACGACAAAATCGAGGACATGGCCATGATGACCCACCTCCACGAACCCGCTGTGCTGTACAACCTCAAAGAGCGTTATGCAGCCTGGATGATCTACGTAAGTACCAGCAGCATCTTCCTTTGGGCAGCTGGGAGGACCTGCTCTGGCAGGCTAAGTGGAAGCCAACGTGCTGTCTCCCTTCCTCGCAGACCTACTCAGGTCTCTTCTGCGTCACTGTCAACCCCTACAAGTGGCTGCCGGGGTACAACCCGGAGGTGGTGTTGGCCTACCGAGGCAAGAAGCGCCAGGAGGCCCCTCCACACATCTTCTCCATCTCTGACAACGCCTATCAGTTCATGCTGACTGGTGAGTGGCTCTGTATGTCTCAGATCGATTGTACCATGAAATTCCCTGAAGGGATACTCTGTCTCAGTAATAGGAGGAGACTTCCAAAATTTTCATGGTTCTGATGCATACCTGCTGTTGTGTGTTTTACTATCTTCACACCATTGTTTCTACTATCGTACATGAAAGACACCCCTTGCATTCAGTGAGATGTCTTGGCGTTTTGCTTGTTTGTTTTAAGTTCATGCTAAAAGGTGAGTGGCTCTCAGAGTGATTCTATCAAAAAGATTTTTTAAAAGTTATCACAAAATTTCCCTGATGATTATGCTGATATTTTCTTAACACATCACTAGAGGTTTATTTTAGTCATATCATTAATCACTGCTAATTTAAACAGGATTTTTTTCACATCAGTATTTCTAAAAAGGAACTATATTACCACAGATAGTTAGAGTGTCAGGAAAAATGATAAGTCAAATGGACCAGGTGGAGCAAGGAATATAATTATACCTGTAATGAAATGTTGAAATTGAGCAGGGTATGAGATCCATATGTGATATGAAAATTCTGTTTAATAATGTGAAGTTAATTCACCAAAGGGCTACAGGAAAAATCAATATTGTAATTATTAAGATTTGTCTTGAGAAAACCATGACATGAAAAAATGAAATAGAATTATACATTGCTGCTAGTTTTGCTTCCACCTTTTCCTTCTTTTCTTTCTCTGTGCTATATGTTCAGAACTATTACCCATGCTCATGATTCCTTTGTCATGGGTTCTTACTATTCCTTTCTGTACTTCTGCTCTAAATACAATCTCTGTAGCAGAAAGTTAAAACAACAAAAACAGAAACTATTTACTGTATGCAGGAGAAAAAAGATTGTAAAGAGTGCCGTAGGGAATAAGCACATGTCCCTTCAAGGGTTTTCATGGAAAAGCAATGCTTTGCAGGGATTGAATTTTTAAAAAATGTTACTAGCAAGCAAAGGAAAAGAAATGCAGAAATTTTTCTTGTCATAACTTACATTTACGGCATTAATTTTCAGTCTTTGTGTGTTCTTCATTTATAAAGTCTCTTTGTTTCTGCCTCTCTCACAGATCGCGAGAACCAGTCGATCCTGATCACGTATGTACACTCCCTGCTCAGGCCCCTGCCCGACTGCCGGGTACCAGGGGACCTCCTGCCTGACCACATGCTCTCTGCTTCTCTCTTTGCTTTGACAGTGGAGAATCCGGTGCAGGGAAGACTGTGAACACAAAGCGTGTCATCCAGTACTTTGCAACAATTGCAGCCAGTGGGGATAAGAAGAAAGAGGAGCAGTCAGGCAAAATGCAGGCAAGTTAATAGACCCTGGATTGAATCAACGCTTTCCTCTGTTTCTGACGTGATTTTTTGAAAGGATAACCAACAATAATTATCATCCTACAGGGAACACTTGAGGATCAAATCATCAGTGCTAACCCACTGCTGGAGGCCTTTGGAAATGCCAAGACCGTGAGAAATGACAATTCCTCACGCTTTGTAAGTTTTTGAGCAGAGAAGTTGACATTTACTGGTAAACAAGGATGTCAGAACAGAAGCTGTCATTTGTGAAGTGTCACGGTTAGATGATTATATTCATTGAACTAATATTTTCTGACTTTTGTCAACTAAAAGCTACCTAACTAGACTATCTAATTAACAATATAACTTTAAAAGTGTAGTACAGCAAACAAATATTTACAAAGGGGGATCAATTAAATATATATAAATATCTGTATTATTTAACATTTTTATATTTTTGTATATATACACACATACTCCTGGTATTTTTCATACAGACGGTAAATACAAATTTCTGTGAATAGATTTAATGCAGAAGGAAGGGAAGGAGGAACCTTGATACAAGGTGTCTGGGAAGGCATAGGGACAAAGATGCCTTCAAGACATTCTATAAGAAATTAAACTATGCTATGACATGTCCCTTTGATTATTTTAATGCAAAAAGCCATTTGTAAATTTTATTAGGTAAACTGTGAATGTCCTTGAGAAATCACAATACCAATCCACAGTCTCAACCTTAAGTTCTATGTTCTGGATGTGTTGCAGCTATCCCCACAACTCAGAAAATAACAGCTGCCTTCTGTTTTTCCACAAGATCAAAAAAACTCATTTAACATTTACACCACCAAAATCCACCTTCACAGCATCTTATCTGATTAAAAAATGAAGCAACTGTATCTTGACATTCTCTGTATCCATATCTCTGTTTGAACTGAGGCATAAATGACCTAATAAAAGGCTTGCTTAATGGTTTTCTTGTTCCTGTGTATTCAGGGTTATCCACTAAATAATAATAACGCAGCTCAATATAGAGAGTTTCCTGAATATTTTTTGTTCTGTTTTGCCTTTTTTTTTAAGAAAAATACAAAGAAAAAAAAAATTGAAACAACTTCCAAGTTTAAATCTTGACAGAATGCAAAGTTACATACTTTACAGCCTTAGTGACATCAAAATTCCTTTTTTTTTTTCCCCTCTAAAGGGCAAATTCATTCGAATCCACTTTGGAGCCACAGGCAAACTGGCTTCTGCTGACATTGAAACATGTAAGAGACCTCCTGATCTTATCCCTTCCTTCCTCCTTTTCCACCTCAGTGTACGTTCTCAGACCTAACTCTGTCTTACCATCCTTGCCAGATCTGCTGGAGAAGTCCAGAGTCACTTTCCAGCTGAAAGCAGAAAGAAGCTACCACATATTTTATCAGATCATGTCCAACAAGAAGCCAGAGCTAATTGGTAGGAAGTATTATAAATTGTTTGATGGAATCTGAATGTGTTTAACATTTATTTTCATTCTTATGCCCAGGTATGTCCTATTCCTCTTTACAGACATGCTCCTCGTTACCACCAACCCATATGACTACCAATTTGTGAGTCAAGGTGAGATCACTGTTGCCAGTATCAATGACCAGGAGGAGCTGATGGCTACAGATGTAAGTGACACAGAGTATATCGGTATAATTAAAGTTCCGTTCAATGGCCCAGAGGTTTATTTGACACATTCTGTTGCCAGAGTGCCATTGACATCCTGGGTTTCACTGCTGATGAAAAAACAGCCATTTACAAGCTGACAGGGGCTGTCATGCACTATGGGAACTTGAAGTTCAAGCAGAAGCAGCGTGAGGAGCAGGCAGAGCCAGATGGCACAGAAGGTATTAACAAAATCTAGAACTCCTGGTAACAGAAACAGTTACATAGCTGGCAGCTGGCATTCAGATATCTTGCTCCAATTTACTTCCATAAAGACATAAATCTCAGCTTTCAAAATACTCATGCTTCTAAATTTCCCTTCAAGCTATCACAATATTGCAGTGGTGAAACCTACAGTTATGTCTATTTTCAATAAGCACTTCTCCTCTGTCACTGTCTCCATCTCTCTTTGTGTATAGTTGCTGATAAGGCTGCCTATCTGATGGGTCTGAACTCAGCTGACCTGCTCAAGGCCCTCTGCTACCCCCGAGTCAAGGTTGGGAATGAATATGTGACCAAGGGTCAAACTGTGCAGCAGGTAACAACCAGATGGTGACTGGAAACCTCTGGCCTGATTTATTCTCTTGCTCTAGGTACTATTTTCCTTCTGCTCCATTCTTCTTTGTTTTAGGTGAACAATTCAGTGGGTGCTCTGGCAAAAGCTGTCTATGAGAAGATGTTCCTGTGGATGGTTGTTCGCATCAACCAACAGCTGGATACGAAGCAGCCCAGACAGTACTTCATTGGTGTCCTGGACATTGCTGGCTTTGAGATCTTTGATGCAAGTACCACAGAAATCATAGTAAAATCTTGAAAGGACAATTAGGGCTCAAGGGAAACTGGAGAATTATGGTGTTTTTTTTAAAAAACATTCCATTCACTTGCAATTTCAAATCAAGTTTTACCTTTTTTTGGAAACAGTTTATTTTTTATTTTCTGAAAATGCTTTCCTTCCTTTTATATATCACTACTTTTTCTCCAGAAAAATCCATGAGCTTCAACGGATTGGCATGTAATAGCTTTATGTGATACACAAGGAAAAAGCAGCTGTCTTTTACATAATTAGCACAAATGTAGCTTTTCAATAATATGAGTTTAGTATTAAAAAACTCCACCGACAAATAGCACACCGACGATAAAACGTCACAGAGTGTAGGAAGAGAAAGGCAGACTTAAGTCCCCCACAAAATTGTGCCAAGGCTTTGGAAAAACAGAGCAATATATATCCTTTGCTTCTGAAAAGCCAGAGGGTGATTCCAACAGGAAGAATGCATTGGCTGCCTTTAGTGCAGACAGAGAAGTTCTATAGACATTTGAGGAAGGTACCTGAATCCAAGCCAGGACTCGCAGATACTGACAATGTCTAACTTTTTTTTAAGAGCAACAGGAAAATTCACATAATACAAGAGAAGAATGATGTAAATTGCACCTTGATAGGGATAAGATTACCAAATACTTTTGGAATTTGAATTAAAAATAAATTATATATGTAAACATCATTCAAGTACCAAAGAGACAAAAAAATCATCCTCTTTAAAAATAGTTAATGGGGTGTTTTAAGACAAAAAAAAAAAATCTTTGTTTTAACTGGACATCCCTTCTGCATGGTATTCTGAGTGCACAGGAGAAAGCTATACAGGCAGTTCCTCATCTTGAAAATGAGTAAATCTTGTCTTTGCACTGAGCAGTTCAATAGCCTGGAGCAACTGTGCATCAACTTCACCAATGAGAAACTGCAACAGTTCTTCAACCACCACATGTTCGTGCTGGAGCAGGAGGAATACAAGAAGGAAGGAATTGAATGGACATTCATTGACTTTGGGATGGACCTGGCTGCCTGCATTGAGCTCATTGAAAAAGTATGTTGATTACATTTAAGATTTTCTAATTCTTCTTTGTGACAGAATTTTAGGATTTTTCTTCAGCCTTATTTTTTCTTGCCCTAATGCTTCACAAACCTACCCATTATTATCCAGTTATGGTCCTAGATATTTTTATTTGAAAAGCTCCTTTTCATTTCAAATATTGTATATGTTCAGACAGTAATTTCTAAGGACCTTTGTGGTTAGGCTAGAAAAGAAGTACCTTTAGGTTATCCATTAACTAAAATATTATGCCTTTTTTTTTAATGTAATTTTGTTTGTTTGGCAATAGAAAAATTAATGTGATCACACAGAATTTGATGGCAAGGACTCTCTGTAGGTGTGTTTTCTTGTCTACAAAGATGAAAAATGTCTTCTCAGAAACCTAGACACAATTTTCAATACTATGATTGTGATTTCAATATTAATACTGTGATTTCTGAAACACAATTTCAAGTAAAATCATAGGTGTATATAGAAAAAAGGTACTGGATGAACAGAGATTAATAAAACCATCACTATGAGCTGAAACTCTTTTGTGTAACATCCTCTTGTCTAAGAATGAAAGGACAGAGATATCACATAAAAAGTAAGATTTCAGTAAGTAGCTGAAAAATCTGTTGAAAAAGGTCAATTTTAGTAAGACACCTTCATCCACACAAATTTACTTTGGGAAAACATTAATGCAAAAAATAAAAACCTCCATTTGATTCATCAGATGTGCAAAATTTTTTTTGTGTGTGTGACTTTTTCTTTGTCTGATTACTGTGACACTATCGGTTCTGAAATGCATTAATTTCAGACACAAATTCATAATTTGTCTAGAATTGCATGTGCAAAACTTAACAAAGATTTGATCAGATTTGATTAAAAAATTTAATCCATTTCTCATTTTCCTGTGCCTTACTGCAGCCCCCTTCTGAAGGCAGGTCTGTATTTTATCACTGTTATTTTTTGCTGCTTCTCCCAGCCCATGGGCATCTTCTCCATCCTGGAAGAGGAGTGCATGTTCCCCAAGGCAACTGACACCTCTTTCAAGAACAAGCTCTACGACCAACATTTGGGGAAGTCCAACAACTTCCAGAAACCCAAGCCTGGCAAAGGCAAGGCTGAGGCCCACTTCTCCCTAGTGCACTATGCTGGCACAGTGGACTACAATATCTCTGGCTGGCTTGAAAAGAACAAGGACCCCCTAAATGAAACTGTCATTGGGCTGTATCAGAAATCATCTGTGAAGACACTGGCTTTACTTTTTGCCTCTGCTGGTGGAGAGGCAGGTCAGTTCTCTGAAATGTCATCTTTGGTGCACAGTGGTTCTGCAAAACTATGGAATCATGAATGGGTCCCAAAGCCATAAATGTTTCATTATCTTCACTTTACCAGAGGCTAGTGGTGGTGGTGGTGGCAAGAAAGGTGGCAAGAAAAAGGGTTCTTCTTTCCAGACTGTCTCAGCTCTTTTCCGGGTAAGTAAACACTTCAACTTTTCAGCTATGCAAATTAGAATTAAACTGCATTTTCAATTGGCTCAGCCACAATAAAAAAGCAAACATACAATTTTCGTTCACATCCTCATTTAAAAAATAAAAACTTATGAAAAGTGGCATCATTTAATCCTAAACTTACATTTAAAATAAATATTAATGTTCTCATAAAACTATGAAGTACCCACCCTCTATCTCTCACTGTTTTTAAGGCAACATTTTTTCTTATCTTAAAAGGTGATGTTCAATGTTCAGAATCAAAGGAGATTGAGCTATTGATTGAGGTATTATCAGCTGATAATTTTCAGCCCAGGACATCTCCATTGATAGGCCTTTTCTGCTAAGTTCAAAGAATTAAGAATTAATTTTTCCATAATTCATATAAAAACAAACTAAATCATGGTCCCACAGGAGAACCTAAATAAGTTGATGAC